GCGGCTCTATAGCTAAGGAAGTGAGATCGACTCTCTGGCTTAATGCTGCCTATGCGTTACACGTAAAAGGTTACAAATGCTTGCCTTATCAATGTGAGCTGAAGTGGAAGAATTTAAAGGCTTCTAATGTAAATATTTTCTTTAAAAAAACAAAGAAATTAAAAAGTTTAACTTCTAATAATTCTAATAAATTGAATTATTTAATTTAAAAAGGATCCTAGGTTTTTGTCTAAAGTTGAAGCAATCACTGGCGTAGATAGGTCTAGGCATGTATCAGCAATGCTTGGCAGAAATAGGTATAGGTACGTATCAACAAGTTTTTGAGTGATAATTTGAATTTAACGAGGTTAATTTTTTAAAAACCTAACATCTAATTAATAAATAGTTGCAATAAAAGACAAAACTCGATTGAATCAGATGTGTCTGATTTGGATTATTCTTCTGATGCATATCAATCTAGTAATAGTAATTATAATTTAATAATTAATAATTGTCGATATTTAATTTTAAATACAATTAATTTATTTGGCAAATTTCAATTTTTTTTTTTTTTTCAAAACAACGCTTATTGGATAGTGGATTCTCAAAGATTTCTGCAAGCTTATTTTATGGAATATAACGAAAACACAACCCTAGTAGTATATAAAGATTAATTTTTTCAAATAATTCATATTATTCATACTATTCATTTATTTATTTCTATTATTTATTAAAATAAAATATGAGATTTTGATCAATGATGCTTTCCTTCAAAATTATAATATTTAATTTATTGCTTAATTTACAAATGTACTAATCTTTGATATAAGTCAAAAATTCATGGTAAAATTAAGTCTAGGTTATTATCAAAATTTTTGAAAATTTGAATTTAACGAGGTTATAGGTCCTGAAATGAGAATAAAAAGGTGAACATGCTTACCTTATCAATCAATGTTTAATGATTATTTAGGTATCAATTCGTTTGAAACTATATGCTATTTACCATACATGTAGGAGCAATAACTTTTATTAATAAATTGAAATAGGACGAAATGGAAATTCAATTATATAAGAAATTATTTATATTCATTTATATTAAATATATTTAAAATTATGGACGAAAATTGTAAAGTAATTTAGCCTAAATGTATGGTTTACAGTCATAGTTTTAATTTATTATGTATATGAATTTCAAAAAGTTGTTATGTATACGAAGTTCGATTTTAATGAGTTTAATGTTTATATAACTTTTTCCAATTTTGTAATTTTGTAGATTTTTAAAACAAAACCTCTCGACACGATTACGTGATGCAATATTTTTTCTTAAAACAAAATTGCGACACGAGGAAATTTTTAAATTTTTTTTTTGAAAAACAATCGCGTACGCGAAAAAAAAATTTTAAAAAAAAACGCGTCACGACGCGACTCGAAAAAAAAATTTTTTTTTAGAACGAGTAGAACAAATCTTTTCCAATTTCAATCATACCTTTAACAAAATCATTATATATTGTTACAATAATTCAATTGATTATTAGAATATTAAGAAAATATTGTAACGCCTGTTCAAATTATGATTACATTATCTCCTAAATGGGTTATACATATTCATCAAAAGTGTGTTGAATCATATATATT